AGCTGGTCATCTTAAACATCACTCCTTCATGTGGATTCATGGTAGTGGTTAGTGTGGCAAATTCAAGTTTTGTTCTTTGAAATTTTCTGGATTTCTCCCAAGTACTTTTAGGTAATGTTTAGGTGTATATACAAATCTGGAACCCACAAATTAGGAGTAGTAATTCTATTCTCTATTCAGTGCTATTAGAAGCATCCTGTAATATAGCTCCTTGGACGGGGAGGTGTACTATATTAGTTTTGTTTTTTAGGGGGTGTGTATATGTGTGTGTGCGCGCACATGTTTGTGCGTGTCTGTGCATGAGATGGGGTCAGTGCCTTGCTACATATGTAGAGATCAGAGACATATTTTGCTAATTAGTTTTCCTTCCACCATCTTACCAGCCTAGTGTTTAATAATCTTAATAAGAGAAGATAATCTATAGGCACTTAAAATATTTATATAGATCTTGTGTTTAAAAAACATTATTTAATTGTATGTATGTTGAAATAAGATTTCCGTTTTGAGTTTTAACAAATTCTTGTTGGTTTTTTTTTTTTTTAAACAAATTGTTTGATTTTTCCAGACAGGGTTTTTCTGTGTGTAGTACTGGCTGTTCTGGAACTTGCTCTGTAGACCAGGCTGGTCTTTTTTTTTTTTTTTTTTTTTTTTTTTTTTGGTTTTTCGAGACAGGGTTTCTCTGTAGCTTTGGAGCCTGTCCTGGAACTCCCTTTGTAGACCAGGCTGGCCTCGAACTCACAGAGATCCGCCTGCCTCTGCCTCCCGAGTGCTGGGATTAAAGGCGTGCACCACCACCGCCCGGCCACCAGGCTGGTCTTGAACTGGAACTAGCTCTTGTAGATCAGGCTGGCCTCAAATTCATGAAGATCCACCTACCTGCCTCTGTATCCTGAGTGCTGGGATTAGAGGTGTGAGCCACCACCACCTGTCTGAATTTTTTTTTCTTTCATTTTTTTATTGAGAAAAGGAGAAAAAAAAAAACAAGTTTCCACCTCCTCCCAGCCTCCCATTTCCCTCCCCCTCCTCCCACTCCTCTCCCCATCCCTCTCCAGTCCAAAGAGCAGTCAGGGTTCCCTGCCCTGTGGTAAGTCCTAGGTCCTCCCCTCTCCATCCATTTCTAGGAAGGTGAACATCCAAACTGGATAGGCTCCCACAAAGCCAGCACATTACGTAGGTTCAAAACCCCGTGCCATTGTCCTTGGCTTCTCATCAGCCCTCATTGTTCGCCATGTTCAGAGAGTCCGGTTTTATCCCATGCTTTTTCAGTCACAGTCCAGCTGGCCTTGGTGAGCTCCCAATAGATCAGCTCCACTGTCTCAGTGGGTGGGTGCACCCCTCGTGGTCCCAACTTCTTTGCTCATGTTCTCCCTCCTTCTGCTCCTCATTGGGACCTTGGGAGCTCAGTCCAGTGCTCCAGTGTGGGTCTCTGTCTCTATCTCCATCCATCACCAGATGAAGGTTCTTCTTACTTAGCTTCTTTGGGATCACCAATTGTAGACTCCGTGACCCTTGTTTATGGCTAGAAACCAATTATGAGTGAGTACATCCCATATTCATCTTTTTGGGTCTGAGTTACCTCACTCAGGATAATGTTTTCAATTTCCATCCATTTGCATGCAAAATTTGAGAAGTCATTGTTTTTTACCGCAGCGTAGTTCTAGTGTGTATATATTCCATACTTTCTTCATCCATTCTTCCTTTGAAGGGCATCTAGGTTGTTTCCAGGTTCTGGCTACACCTGTCTGAATTTAACACATTCTTAAAGTGAGCAGTTTTGTACTGGGTACAGTTTTATAACAGAAGAGCTAGATTAAACATTTACTCTTCGATACTTTACAGTATTGGGCAGCCATTTTCTCTGTGTAGTTCCAAAACATTTCGTCACCCCCCAAGGGATCCTCCATCTAATGAGAAGTAACTCTCTTTTCCTGTGCCTGGCCTCTCCTAACCTGCTTCTTGTCTCTCTGGATTTGCCTGTTCTGGATATGAATGGAATCATAAAATATGTGCCCATTTTTAGGTGTCCCATATCTGCTTATTGACTCACAAGTGTGAGCATTTGCATTTCTGCTTGTAGTTACGGTGTCTAGTGATGCTGTTGATGTTTCTGTGGGAGTTTTGATTTGACCGCTGACTTTCAGTTCTTTTTGTGTCTGCCTAGGAGTGAACTGCTGAATGTGAAAATTCTGAGCTTTTGAGGATCTACTAAATTGTTACATCAGTGCCATTTCGTATTCTCATCAGCAGTGTATAACCTTTATTCTTTTCTTCTTCCTGTTTAATCTTTGAAAAGAATTATAGGCATGCTAGTGACCTTAGTTGAGGTGGGATTTAGTTGTTTGGAGGAAGACAGGGGTCAGTTGGTTGGCTTTCTTTCTGTGGTGCTGGAGAGCAAATCCAGGGCCTTGCACATTCTAGGCAAACACTCTGCCACTGAGTTAGATCCCTAGCCAGTATGGGTGTCTATACACAATCTTTCCATCTATAGTAAATCACTATATGCTGTAAGAGTTGTTAACTACAGTTATCCGTATGTTAAACACTCTGCCACTGAGTTAGATCCCTAGCCAGTATGGGTGTCTATACACAATCTTTCCATCTATAGTAAATTACTATATGCTGTAAGAGTTGTTAACTACAGTTATCAGTATGTTAAAAAGTCTGTTAGTATATAGTAATTGTCTTATAATTTAAGACTATTTCACCACATCTACACATTCTTTTCTAGAAATACTGGTTTTGGCATTTTGTTAGGCTGTGGAAAATTTGAGATAAATTTTCTGAAGAAACCCTGACATTGAGGTGTTTCATATTTGTTATAGAAAGTTCTAGTTTGAACACAACTAAGAAAATTTTAACATATATTATGCTTGATTTTAATTGACTATAAGGAATGATAAAATTGTCAGTCAAAATGGTGCGTGCTTGCCGGGCGGTTGTGGCGCACGCCTTTAATCCCAGCACTCGGGAGGCAGAGGCAGGCGGATCTCTGTGAGTTCGGGACCAGCCTGGTCTACAGAGCTAGTTCCAGGACAGGCTCCAAAACCACAGAGAAACCCTGTCTCGAAAAACCAAAAAAAAAAAAAAAGGTGTGTGCTTTTAATCCCAGCACCAGTGAGGCTCAACCTCAGCCTCACTGATGAGGATCTTTGTGAGTTCAAAGCCAGACTGGTTTACAAAGTGAATTAGACACAGTGAGTCTCAGTCTCTCTCTCTCCCTCCCTCCCTCCCTCTCTCTCTCTCTCTCTCTCTCTCAAAAAAAAAAAAAGTCTAAAGAAACAAGCAAACAAGAATGATAAGTTTAAAAGTTCAAAATTTAGTGTGTTTCATTTCGATCGAATGGAAAGAATGATTAAGTGTAGGTAGCTGTGGCCTCGCCACTCCTAGGAGAGCTCACTGTACGTTAGACTGCTGACTTTTAAGTGGTTATTTTGTGTTCTGTAAAGACTGCTGCTTTGCATATGTACTGCCGGATCTAGTCGTTCTTTATAGCTATTTAAAGCATGCTGACAAATACATCCTTCAGCTTCTCTTTGTCTGTTCCTATTCTTCACAGAGCTACTGCAGCTGAATCCTTGTTCTCCTACTGCTCCTTGTAGGTGTTTTCTAGTTAGTGGACATCTATCCCTAAGGGTGTTTGCTGTCGATAAGATCTGACCCCTAAAATGGAGCCATCATATAAATGTTTCCATGCTCATGATAGCCTTGTAATTTAGCTACTTGTGTTCTGCTAGCAGTAAACATGGGTTCGCATAGAAAGAATTTTTCTCAAGGTCAGGTAAGGAGAGAGAGGGACTGAGCTTCAGGTTCGATTTAGATTTAGCTGCCCACAAAGAAAGGTCCTTTTCATTAATATTAAAGATATCAATACTGATGACCCGTTTTGTTTTGTTTCTCTGTAGCTTTGGAGCCTGTCCTGGAACTTGCTCTTATAGACCAGGCTGGTCTCGAACTCACAGAGATCCATCTGCCTCTGCCTCTCGAGTGCTGGGATTAAAGGCGTGCGCCACCACTGCCTGGCTTAAATACTAATGATCTAAATTAGCATTGGCTGCGTAGAACTTTGTACTTTTCTAAGCACGTAGACCCCCATCCAGCTTCATAATCGACATGTGAGCTACGGGTACTTCTTATAAATGAGGAAACAAGGCACACCAGAGTCAACAACCTGTTGAAGCTATTGAACTCATGGTTTAAAGCCACATTTTAAAGCAAAATATGAAGCTGGGCTTAGTGGTGCACACCTGTAGTCCCAGCATTTAGGAGGCAGAGGCAGAAGAATTGCCCTGAGTTCAAGGTCAGCCTCAGCTACTGCCCTTAGTTTTTTTTGTTTTTGTTGTTTTTGTTTTTTGTGATAGAAAGACCCTCAAAGTCCACCCCCAGTGACTTACATCCTCCAATAAGATCACACCTCCTAACCCTTCCCAAACAGTTCCTCTAGCTGGTGAGAGGGCTGTTCTCATCCAAACCACCACAGCTACCTGGCAAGAGCCCTTTCTTTTTAAAAATAATATAGTTCAAAATTCTAGTTCTGTGTGCTTAAGTATACTGTCTTGTTCTGTGATATGGTTGATATTTTATATGTTTTAATTAAATATGAATGTTGGGGCCAGGATATGTGTGTGTATGGTTGCAGGTACCCTCAGAAGCCAGAGAAGGTGTCAGGTCATACAGAGCTGGAGTTACAGGTGATTGTGAACTGTGTGATATGGGTGCTGGGACTCTGAAAGAGCGGTATATACTCTTCATCAGTGATCCTTCTTTCCAGCACCTAGTTGATATTTTCATAATTAGGACCATTCCTGACAGATATTTTAAGTTTACATAAGACAATCTGTGATCAAAACATGTCATTTATGACTATCACAAATTGATTAATTTTTTTCTCTAATTTTTTATGCAAAAATATTACTGATTTGATTGCATATTAATAATTAATAATGCTGTTGTAAAGGCTATTTTGTCAGTATTAAATGAAATACTTTTCTGTTTTCTTTTAGGTCCACCTCATTCATTTAATCGAGACGAGACAATAATCATTGCTTTGGCATCAGTCTCTGTATTAGCTGTTTTGATAGTCGCCTTATGTTTTGGATACAGACTATTGACAGGTAAAAAAAAAATAGTATTTTTTATCTCGTTTAGGAAAATGCCATTTAAATCAGAATTTATTTTCTTTAAAAAATTTCTTTTACAGAGATCTGCCTATCTTTGCTTCCTGAACGCTGGGTGCGCCACCCCCACCCAGCTTGTTGGCAAGCATCTTTACCAGCTGAGCCATCTTGCCATCCCTGTTGCTTCTTTTTTTAAAAATGTTTGTGGAAAATGTTTATACAAACAGAAACTCTGAGCTATAGTAGCTCCAATTCTCAGCTTCAACAAACATTTCTCCCCAGTTTTTACAAGAAGTTTTTTTAAAATTTTATTTTTATTCATGTGTCTGCCTGTGGCTCTGTATGTCATGGCATGTGTGTTTCCCGAGGAGGCCGGAGATGGCATTGCATATCTTAGAGCTAGAGTTAAAGGTGGTTGTGAGCCACCTAATGTGGGTGCTGAAACGTGAACTCAGCTCTTTGGAAAGCCTAGCAAGCTCTCTTAAAGCTGAGCCATCCCTTCAGCCCAGACAGGATATTTTTTTTTTTTAAGATTTATTTTATGTGTCTGTGAGCGCTCTATTGGCTTTATGCCAGAAGAAGGCATCAGATTCCATTATAGATGGTTGTGAGCCACCCTGTGGGTGCTGGGAATTGAGCTCAAGAACCTTAAGAAGAGCAGCCAGTGCTCTTGACTGCTGAGCCCTCCTTCCAAGCTCCCGTCCAACAAGAGGTTTTAAACTTACCCAAAATGTGTGTTACCCAACTGCAACAGTTATTACTTGCAGGCAAGGTTACTTAACTCTAAATCCGCACTCGCTACGCCTTTCATATCACTGAACTCTTTTAGTCAAAGCACAGATACCAGAGATCTGTAAGTGCTTTCGTATTACCTCTGTAACAACTTAAAAACTGTATATCCATAATGCTATTTTTTTAAATGAAAAAGTCAGTAATTTTTCACTAGGTCAGTTCTAATAATTTTTTTAAGGATTTTATTTTTACTTCATGTGCGTTGGTATTTTGCGAGAGTGTCAGACTTTGGAATTACAGACAGTTGTGAGCTGCTGTGTGAGTGCTGGGAATCGAACCCATGTCTGCTAGAAGAACAATCAGTGCTCTAACCACTGAGCCATCTCTCCACACCCCAGTTCTGATAAATCTTAGGTGTGATGGGTTGTTTAGGAAATCAGCACTTACTCATTCATTTGAATAATTCTGTGAAAATTTTCTTGAATTCAGTATTAGGATTTTCCACTTTAATACTGCGTCGTCATGGAATTATCTCACAGAATCTGCTCTCACGGTGCTTAATATTCATCTTCACTTGTCAGTGATTCCTATTTTAATGAGTTATTCTAACCCCTGCTGTAGCTCTTCTTAATTGCAATACTAGAAAGGTGGCGTTTTCATGTTAAGAAAGTCTCCCATCAGTAATCCCTTACTTTTCCAGGAGACCGGAAGCAGGGTCTTCACAGCATGAACATGATGGAGGCCGCAGCCTCAGAGCCGTCTCTGGACCTGGATAACCTGAAGCTCCTGGAGGTGAGGCTGTGCTGCGACTGTTGGCTGGCATGGTTGCTCCTTGTTCTCCTGAAGTGTCAGGAGCTGGTGGTGCACACCGGTAATTCCAGCAGTCAGGAAGCAGAAGCAAGGGGATTTCCTCAGGTTCCAGGCCAACCTGGTCTGTGTAGCAAGTTCCAGGGTAATTTTATAGTTCCAGGTATATTTATAGTGAGACCCGTTTAAAAATAAAGTGAAGGAACCAGTCTATGGTAGCCCACGCCTTTAATCCCACACTCGGGAGGCAGAGGCAGGTGGATCTCTGAGTTTGAGGCCAGCCTGGTCTACAGAGTGCATTCCATGACAGCCAGTACTGTTGCATAGAGAAACCCTGTCTCTAAAACCAAAAAACAAACAAATAAACCACATAAAAAGAAAAGAGAAAAGAAAAAGACAGTAGATCCCCCAACCTGTTTTAATGAAAATTCCCCAGAAGTCCAAAATAAAGAGACTGGTGACATTTTGCTATTGCTGTTTCTTTATGCATGGAGTAGATTTTTTATTCTAGGTACTGTGTGTAAGCTCCCAGATTCTGGCTAATTTCTAATGGTTGCGGTTTTTTAGAAATTTATTTTAGTTATCTGTGTGCATATGCATATGACCTGTGGGGGTTAGGAAGAGGTGTTGGGTCTCCTGGACCTGGAATTACAGGTCACTGTGAGCCACTCCTCACAGCTGTGAGGTGGGTGCTGGGAACCGAGCTTAGGCCCTCTGGAAGGTTAGAACATTCTGTCAACCACTGAGTATCTCTCCAGCCCTGTGTGTTGATTTTTGTAAGCTATTAACTGGTGGACACAGATTACAAACCTAACACTTGGGCAGAAGCCCAAATCTTAGTTCAGTTATTATATTTAGCTAGAATCAGTGTTCACTGGATTCTCTTGTTCTGGTTTCATCCTTTTGAGGCTTCTTCCCCTCACTCTGTAGAAGCTCTCCTCGTTCAAACGACCCTCCTATACCATTTTCAGTTGCATTGCTCGAAGCTGAGTAGTCTGCCTTCCAGCTGAAGCCCATAGCAAGCAGCTGGTAGCTCACCACATGGGTCCCTTTCTTCTATGCTTTGGTGCCTTTTACACTCTTAACTCCTCAGTGTATTTAGGGTTTTCTTGTAGTTCTGTCCAGTGTTTAGCTTTCATCTATTGGAAGGTTGGTTAGTGAGGTAGACAGTTCCTTAGTCTTTCCATACACAGACATCTGTCGGTTGCTTCTCGGTACTGGAATAAACTGAGGGCAAAAGAGAGCTGCTGTCTATAGTGGGGAATTAGAGTTTGTTTGTTTTTTCTTTTAAGTATTTAATTGTTCAATATTAATATGAACTAATTAATACCTTGCCTTTTTAAAAACAAACTTGCAGCTGATTGGACGGGGTCGATATGGAGCAGTGTATAAAGGTTCCTTGGATGAGCGTCCAGTTGCTGTAAAAGTATTTTCTTTTGCAAACCGTCAGAATTTTATAAATGAAAAAAACATTTACAGAGTGCCTTTGATGGAGCATGACAACATTGCTCGCTTTATAGTTGGAGATGAGAGACTCACTGCAGATGGACGCATGGAGTATTTGCTGGTGATGGAGTATTATCCCAACGTAAGTTCTTCATAAAAAGTTTCTGTCATTTAGTGTGCTTTCTGTTAAAGATTTTTTGGATGTGTTATAGAGTTTTGCTTGTTTATAAACGTGTTATTAGTGTTCTGTTATTAGTGAAATAAGGATCTTATGTCAGAATTTGAATCAGATACATCAGTCTGCCAGGTATCATGGCACATATCTGTGATCCTAGCACCAGAAAGGAGGCCAAGGTGGAAGGACTGTGAATTCAGGCCAGCCTGGGCTATTACTCTAAGACCCCATCTTATTTTTTAAAAATTTATTTATTGGGCTGGAGAGATGGCTCAGCGGTTTAGAGCACTGGCTGCTCTTCCAGAGGTCCTGAGTTCAATTCCCAGCAACCACATGGAGGCTCACAACCATCTGTAACGAGATCTGGTGCCCTCTTCTGGTGTGTGGACGTATGTGGAGGGAGAATGTTGTATACATAATAAATAAATAAATCTTTAAAAAAAAATTATTTATTTAGAGGCAGGCGGATCTCTGTGAGTTCGAGACCAGCCTGGTCTACAAGAGCTAGTTCCAGGACAGGCTCCAAAACCACAGAGAAACCCTGTCTCGAAAAAAACAAAACAAAACAAAAAATTATTTATTATGTGTACATCATTCCTTCCATGTGTGCCCGCATGCCAGAAGGGGGCGCCAGGTCTCATTATAGATGGCTGTGAGCCACCATGTGGTTATTGGGAATTGAACTCAGGACCTCTGGAAGAGCAGCCAGTGTGCACTTAACTTCTGAGCCATCTCTCCAGCCCTAAGACCCCCATCTTAAATAATAACAAAACACTAATGATTCTCTTTATTCGTCTCTCTTCTCTCATTTTTCCTTTTCTTCACTCCTTCTGTTCCTCCCTCATGCCTTCCTTTCCTTACCCTTCCCTCTTCCCTTCTCTTTAACTTTCTCTCTGTTTCTTTAGCCAGACCTTTTCATCAGACTTTACAGTACCTTGATTGACATTCATTCTTGTGTAAGCTCCTTGCCTAATCAGAAGCTCATTGTAATTTGTAGGTGAATACTTTGAGGTGAACAGATACATGCATACAGTCATCCCTTAGCATCCTCAGGCACACACACACACACCCCAAAATCACAGCTGTTCAAGCCCCTTATAGAAAATGCCATGTAGCGGTGCTTATTACTCATTCATATCTTTCTTATTATACCGTGTAAATGCCATGTTAGTAGTTGTTATATCATTTATTTAGGAAACAATGATAAGAAAAAATAATGTTATGTACAGATGCAAAGATTCTTTGGGTTATTATTTGTTTGTTTTTCCTGACTCTATTGGAGATAAAACCAGGGTCTGGGTATACCGAGCGAGTACTTTTCCATCAGGCCACATCTCTGAGTATTTTTTATGTAGCTGATTGACCCCAGGATGTGAAGCCTGCAGGTATAGAGGGCTAACAGTATAGATTTACAGGAGACATATGTGTTCTACTTATAAACCATAACAATATTGTTTATAAAATTTTGGCTTAAAATTTTTCCCAAGTTAATCTGATAGCCCAAAGAAATGTTTAAAAGGAAGTAACCATCTGTAATTTAATATTTGAAACCTAAAACCTGATACTTAAGTTCCTTCTTTCCGCTGTCCTAGTTGGGGTTTCTGTTGCTGGGATGAGACTGTGACCAAAAGCGAGTTGGGGAGGAAAGGGTTACTCAGCTTACTCTCCCACATCACTGCTCACCCTCTCAGGGACTCACCCAGGGCAGGAGCCTGGAGGTAGGAGCTCTGCAGAGGCCATGGATGGCGCCACTTACTGGCTTGCTCATCCTTCTTTCTTGATTTTGTGGGTGTTCTTGTTGTTGTTGTTGATTGTTTCCAGACAGGGTCCTTGAACTCACTGTGTAGACCAGGCTGGCGTCAAATTCAGAGAGTCACCTGCCTCTGCCTCTCAAGTGGTGGTGGCATTAGTGTGTGCCACTGCAGTTGACTTGTTTGTTTTGTTTTGTGGTCATTCGGCTTTTTTGTAAAACCTCAAGACCACCTGCCCGGTAGTGAGCCCACCCACGATGGGCTGGGCCCGCCCACATCAATCACTAGGAAAGTGCTCTACAGGCCTGGCTGCAGCCTGATTATACGGAGGCATTTTCTCAGTTAAGGCTCCCTCTTCCCAGAGGACTTCAGCTTGTGTCAGAGTTTACATGAAACTAGCCAGAACGCCCTCTCTCACTTTCCTTTTCAGATATACCTTATCTTTATCATTAGTGCTTCATGTAATCCTAGCCTGTGCAAATCCTTCATAAGGTTGTTACCTCTTCTTGTTGAAGCACATGAATTTAACTTCTTTGGTATACTTTTTCCTTTATACAGGGATCTCTATGCAAATATTTGAGTCTCCATACAAGTGACTGGGTAAGCTCTTGCCGGTTGGCTCATTCTGTGACTAGAGGATTGGCTTATCTGCACACAGAATTACCACGAGGAGGTAAGAGAAATAAAATTTTAATCATATTTTAGAAGAAAAGCCATAACTTATATTGTTAAAATATGAATATTAACCAGTTGTTTGAAAGCTTCATTATCAGGAAATATACTTGAATATAATAGAAAGAAAAGCAAGCATGGATTTCATTAAGAATTTGAAGACTTTCCTTCTAAAAATATACATACAGCTAATTTTAGAGAAAATTATTTTAGGGGGAGTATATTTCAGTGATAGAATGCTTCCTTAGCTTGTGTAAGGCCCTACATTTGATATCTGATATCATAAGACCAGGCAAAGAAAATCCTAGAGGTTTTTCAGATCTCTTGAAGTCTAATTGAGAACCTTAGGTTAATACTCTTAACTAGGCTATATTTTCCTTGTATTTATTTTGTTTATGGAATAAATTACAATGTATTAGTTTTAATATTACTTGAATTTTTATTACATAAGTTGTAATTCTCAAGCATCTTTTTATAAATTCATATCCTGCTAGCTAGAATCGAGAGGGAAGATATAACAGTGGTTTTATTAATAAAGAAAATTTTTGCCAGGTGGTGGTGGCACACGCCTTTAATCCCAGCACTCAGGAGGCAGAGGCAGGGTGATCTCTGTGAGTTCGAGGCCAGCGTGGTCTATAAGAGCGAGTTCCAGGATAGGCTCCAAAGCTACAGAGAAACCCTGTCTCAAAAAACCAAAAAAAAAAAAAAAAAAAGAAAGAAAGAAAAAGAAAATTTTCTTCTTTCTCATACACTTATAAAAATCTCGGGGCTGGAGAGATGGCTCAGAGGTTAAGAGCATTGCCTGCTCTTCCAAAGGTCCTGAGTTCAATTCCCAGCAACCACATGGTGGCTCACAACCATCTGTAATGAAATCTGGCCTGCAGGCATACACACAGAGAGAATATTGTATACATAATAAATAAATAAATATTAAAAAAAAAATCTCGAGGGTTAGGCATGGTGGTGGCAGGACCCTGCTTTAAAAAAAAAAAATCTAAAGAGGTCGATTAAGTTGGCGTATACTAATTACAATCCTCATACTCAGGAGGTTGAAACAGGGGGATTGTGAGTTGAAGGTATCCCTTGACTGCAGAGTGAGACCTGTCTCATAAAAGGAGGAGGAAGAAACAGAGAGAGGACTGAGCTTACAGGCCAGTGGTAGAGCATAGTGTGCGTGAGGCTCTCGGGTTCAGTCCCCAGCAACAAACAAAACCAGAACCTAAAGTGAGGGTGTCAGGGACGGGTTTGACAGCATGATATTAGACACGAGGCTCCTGTATTTTTCTGTACTGTCCCTTACCTATGGATCACATTTTCATAGTTATTTCTTTGTCCTCTGTGCTATGTTCTAGGTAGGGAGTTGTCCCCTTCCACCTTCAAAAGTTCCTCTTGTGTACCTGTTTTGTTTCTTAGAACTAATTCATTCTTACCCACTGGAGACCAAGAATATAATTGTTCTGTTTTGTTTTTGTTGGGTGGATTGCTCTTCAGGCAAAGTGGGGTTCTGTTGTTAAACAGGGATGGAAGGCAGTGTTGGCCAGTATTTTGAAACTGTATTACATCCCCTGTTGTAGCTTACACCTTCTTCAGCTTTCTTTCGTGAGTTCTTTAACTAGTTGTCCAGAGCACCTCTTTTAAATACATTCACTTCTCACTTTGTTTCAAAATATACTCACATCACAGGCGCCCCTAAATTAGTGTGTCTGTGCTTTCTCAGGTTTCCACTTGGGGACCACATTTTGTCACATTGTAACCGTCGCTGTTCCTGTAGTGTCCCTGACCTCGTTAGGGAGGATACTTAATGTATCCGTTTCTTAGGTCTTTGTTCCATTATATAATAGCATGGATCATCTTTTCTAGCTGATGCTTCATATATAAATAATTTCTTCTGAATAATTTATTGGCTCATTTACTCGATGTCTTTCCTTGGGTACAAGACTGACCTGTTATTGCTGTGTCAGCAGCCGGTGTGCTTGCTTCGGTGTTTTAGCCGTCAGCCATTGGACCTGTTCCTTACTTTAGATATAACTCCTTTAGACGCTGGCTTAAAGCAGAATTTAAAATATCATCCTGATTCCCCTTTCAAGGTTTGCAAAATTCAGCAAGGTTATAAGTCAAATACTGGCTGAAATTTCTTTGCTTAAACAAAGAAAGATTTTTCTCAAACAGTGGCTCATGCCTTTATTCCTAGCACTTTGGAGGCAGAGGCAGGCGGATCTCTGAGTCTGAGGCCAGCCGACATAGTAAGCTCTAGGACATCTCACTGAATCAGTGAGTGCTGCTCATATGTAAATAATGCTTTAGGGCTGACCACTTGGGATTAAATAGCCAATTAGGGGGCTCATTCTATGGAAGAACGGATTCTCTCTCTCTCAGCTGTCTTTAATTATCTTAGCTCTTTACCTAGAATGAAGCTGTGTCAGATTTCCTCCATTTTTGTTGGCCTATCCCCTGATGTCATTGTTCAGGTCTTCTTTCAGCTACCGTATTGTTGGGATTTTATGGGTGCCGCTTGCCTGTCCTGTGTAGAAGATTGTTTCTTACCAGGTGTCCTGGTGCTCTGGCTCTTGTGGTCTGTTCACCCTTTCGTGATGTTCTGAGTCGTAGGTGTAGGTGTTGTGTTTCTATCAGCTGGGGCTTGGTACCTGCTGGTGAGTCGTTCTCCACATTTTGATCAGTCGTGGCCTTCTGTGATGGTCTCCATCTGCTGCAAGAAGTTTCTCTGAAGATGAGTGATAGTTCCACAGAGACCAGCCTGATTTACATGAAACCCTGTCTGAAAAACCAGCCAACCTACTAACCAACCAAGCACAACCGTGGAAACAAAACAGAAAGAAAGAAATGAAGAGAAAAAAACTCGCTTGTGTCAACAGTTAGAACTGTGTTTACTGTTAGATTCAGTTGAATGTTCAGTGCTTGATTAACTGTGTATCTAAGAGGAGTTAGTTACTAATAGTTACCCTTGGAAAGTAGTAATAAGTTGAAATTGTGAGGTTCTGATTTGGGTTGTGACACCCATGTTGATCAAACTCATAATCTTCCTGCCTCTACATCCCAAGCGCTAGGATTGCAGGCATGTGTCTTGATAATCAGGTTTCTTTCCCTAGCCCCATTTTTTTAGACAGCTATAATGGGTGGAAAATAGTTCTATCTTTTATTTACATGTATGTAGCGCCTGTTATCTCATTTTAATATTATCCCCAAATAATTCTACCTAAGCATTAATAAGTGTTTGAAATTATCCAAACAGATCATTATAAACCTGCAATTTCTCATCGAGATTTAAATAGCAGAAATGTCCTGGTAAAAAATGATGGCACGTGTGTCATCAGCGACTTCGGTTTGTCCATGAGGCTAACTGGAAACAGACTGGTGCGCCCAGGGGAAGAGGATAATGCAGCTATAAGTGAGGTGAGTCCATTAACATACAATGATACTACAAAATCGAAACACTGTAGCAGTTATCTGTTAACTGTTAACACTGTTAGCTACAGGCTGTTAGGTATTGTAATATGAGCGGTGGGCCTGCGTTCCCAGCACCCGGCCACCCACATGGCTAGCTCTAGCTTATGCCCCGAAATAATTACACGGAAACTGTATTCTTTTAAACACCGCTTGGCCCATTATATCTAGCCTTTTCTCGGCTAACTCTCGCACCTGGACTAGCCCATTTCTTATAATCTGTGTAGCCCACGAGCTGGCTTACCAGGAATGATCTTAACCTGCGTCTGCCTGGAGTGGAAGAATCATGGCGACTCACTGACTCAGCTTCTTTCTCCCAGCCTTCTGTTCTGTTTACTCCACCCACCTATGTTTTAACCTATGAGGGCCAAGCAGTTTCTTTATTGCTTAACCAATGAAATCAACAGATTGATACATGACACTCCCACATCAGTTAGGGTTAGACATTAGGAACTACCAAATACATTGTATAAAGACCTGTGTAAAACTGATCAGTTTATTTTGAAAAATTCCAGGTTGTTTGAACAAACATTAGGGAGATATATCTAGGAATTGATTTTTTTGTTATTAAAGGGAATTTATTAGATTGTGTTTTCTGTTGGTTTGTTTTTTGAGTCAGATTCTCTTTATATGGCCAAGTTTGGCCTTGAGTTTACCGTCCTCCTCCGAGGGTTGAGATTTCAGGCAAGTCCTACCCAGACCCAGCCAGAATTGATTTTTGAAGTAAGGTTATCAAGTTTGAGATGGGAAAGTCTACTCTGTGGTTACAATGTCGACATATCTTTCCTGACCCTTTTCTCTGCTTCACATACATAGATGTAGGTAAAGATTTGCAATTTTTTAAAATTATTCATTTTTTAAAAATTTTATGTACATAGTGCTTTGACATTTTCTCATCATGTTTGACAGTTTTTGTTTTGCATTATTGACTATATTGCAAAGACGGGCAATGAAATAGACAATTAATTATAGAACAGCCTGCAGTCTCATGGTTTTTGTTTGTTTGTTTGGTTTTGGTTTTTCAAGACAGGGTCTCTCTGTGTAGCCCTGGCTGTCCTGGAAACTCTGTAGGCCAGGCTGGTCTTGAACTCACAGAGATCCACCTGCCTCTGCCTCCCGAATGTTGGGATTAAAGGTGTGCACCAACATAGTCCAGCTGGATTTTTGAAAGTTGGTAAAGGAACGCTTACTTTGTTCTCTCATAGGAACACTTACTTTATATTGAGAGGGGAGAGATTTTTAACGTACAGTGACCTTGCTTTGGGTTGAGTAGTTTCATTAACAGGAGTAAATTAAAAAAACAAATTAACTTTATTTTATATGCATTTGGTATGAAGGTATCAGATTCCCTGGAACTGGAGTTACAGTTGTGAACTGCCATGTGGGTGCTGGGAAATGAACCCATGTCCTCTGGGAGAGCAACCAGTGTTCTTAACCACTAAGCCATCTCTCCAGCCCCAACAGGAGTAAATTTTACATGCGATTTCTGGGCTAATGTTTGCTCTTCAGGATATGTTGCATTTTATTTCTTTAAAATAACACTCTTAATTCACCAGGTTGGCACAATTCGCTATATGGCGCCCGAAGTGCTGGAAGGAGCTGTGAACCTGAGGGACTGTGAGTCCGCGTTGAAGCAGGTAGACATGTATGCGCTGGGGCTGATCTACTGGGAGGTGTTCATGAGATGTACAGACCTCTTCCCCGGTAAGAACCGCTGCTAATTTATCAGGGCTTCGTTTTTAACTCTTGGTTTGTTTTGGTTTTTCTAGGCAAGGTTTCTCTGTGTAGCCTTGGCTCTCGTAGAATTAGCTTTGTAGACCAGGCTGACCTAGAACTCATGGAGATACCCCTTCCTCTACTTTCCAAGTGCTGGGATTAAAGGTGTGCCATCATCACCCAATGATTTGTCAGTTTTTAGAAGTGATACAGTTGTATCTTCTTTCTCACTTGGTTATAATAAATTCAAGAAAAGAATCTGGTTTTAGAGAAGTATGTAGAGGCCTGAAAAATAGATTAGCAGCCAGGAACTTAAAAGAAACTGAGGTTTCAAAAGACCCAGTTTCTTGCTTTTGGTATGGATCAAGAGATAGCTCTAACTACTTCTTCAGCACCATGCCTGCAATGCCTGCCATGCTCCCTGCCATGAGGATAATGGACTAAGCCGCTGAAACTATAAGCAAGCTCTTAATTAAATGCTTTCTTTTATTAAAAAAAAAAAACTGCCTAGCTGGGCGGTGGTGGCGCACGCCTTTAATCCCAGCACTGGGGAGGCAGAGGCAGGCGGATCTCTGTGAGTTCGAGACCAGCCTGGTCTACAAGAGCTAGTTCCAGGACAGGCTCCAAAACCATATAGAAACCCTGCCTCGAAAAAGAAAAAAAAAAAAAAAAAAAAAAAAACTGCCTAAATAGTTATGGTGTCTCTTCACAGCAATAGAACATTGACTAAGACAATCATAAAAGTTAAAAAATAAAATAAGTGCTTCAGTTATCTATCAATATTCCTTCCTAAACTTCTCCATAATTAGATCATTCTTCTGACTTAAACAACATTTCTTTTAAGTTTTAGATTTTTCTTTGGTGAGTGATGTTTCCGTCTCTCCTCTTAAATTTGGTTGCTTGTTGTACCAAATCCTGGTATTTTTCTTTATTTTCTAACATGAGATCAGAGTTCAGGCATAAGTTTAGGTATTAAATATTCCTTATAATATTTCACTCCTAAATTTAATACCAGTCAAAACCATTTTAAAATGCCTATCTAGTCTGAGAGACAACTCCGTGGTAGGAAGCTATCCAGGGCTCAGTGTTGAAGAATGTACTTAGACTGTTGGAGGCCTTGAGTTCAGTCCCCAACAGTATTTGACAACTGTGTGTGCCATCAATAGGTACTGTTTGCAGCTTACGATGAAATAATTCTGACTTTTACAAAATGTGATAAAGTTAAGTGCATTTATAAACAGACAGAAGTTGGGCGGTGGTGGCACAGGTCTTTAATCCCAGCCCTCAGGAGGCTCTGTGAGTTTGAGACCAGCCTGGTCCACAGAGTGAGTTCCAGGACAGCCAAGGCTACACAGAGAAACCCAGCCTTGATAAAAACCAATAAAGAATAAATAAATAAACATACTGAGCTATACAGAAAACCCCATACAACTAATACATAAAAATCCAATGGCCTACGACAGGATTCTCAAATTCCGATTGCTGCGACCCTCATGTTTGACACCCAACCATAAACTCAGTTTTGTTGCTACTTCATAACTACAATTTTACTACTGTTATGAATCGTCATATATTTTTTGAAATAGAGGTTTGCCAGAGGGGTCACAAACCCACGTGTTGAGAACCACTGGCCTGGAGGAGACCTACAGTCTTCCTGGCGCCTCATCACTGCTCTACGTATTAAAATAACAAGATAGATGAGAAGGGATGGAGGCTAGGGCATTTCGGTTCTAATCTTGGCTTCATCTCTTCCTTGGAAAAGTCACTTAACTCTTGTGTGCTTCAATCTTCCTGGCAGCCAAGCAGTACTGTCTGCCTCCCTTATCTCACAGGCACAACAGGAGAGTTATAATGACCCAGATGAAAAAGCTCCACGAAACATGGCAAGGTTTTGTTTCTATTTGAATAGTTAAAGCAATCCATACATTCTTACCCTCTAGCAGTATTTTTTAAATTTACAAAAATTGTTTTTTTAATGCAGCAGAGCCTGAGTTATTAGAATACTTCACTGTTTTAAAAACAGTGCTTAATATTCAAGTACATACTCACCATGCTTAAGGCTTAGAGTTTGATCCCCAACACCAAAGAATAAGATAAGTAAAATATCTGTATAGTATTGAAACTACTATTTCATTTATCAATAAAAATTGAGACTTCCTAATATTAATAGACTAAAACAACAATAAAGTGTCTGAAATTTGCATGTATGCTTAAAAGGGTTTAATGCATATGGTTTCTGTTTATTTGATACTAGAAATACCTCTGTTATTCTATCCTCTATGATAATCAGAAATTCTATCATTCTTTCTATAAAAACACAGGTGAATCTGTACCAGAATACCAGATGGCTTTCCAGACAGAAGTTGGCAACCATCCCACTTTTGAGGACATGCAGGTTCTTGTGTCGAGAGAAAAACAGAGACCCAAATTCCCAGAAGCCTGGAAAGAAAACAGCTTGGTAAGAAGACGAGGACTTCTGCCTAGAACTAGATAAGTTTAAATGTGCTTGAAGCAAAAAATAGAAGCCGCCTAGCTGTGGTGATTCATGCCTGTGCCCCACCACTGGGTAAGGCAACAGGAATCACACATTTAGGGCCAGCCTGGGCTTCAGTGTAGATCTAAAAAGTTAACTAAAGTAAAAACATCAGACTTGTGTTCATATAAACATTTCCTGTACAACACAATACTGAGTTTGGACTCATAGGAACCACACAGACTACTTCATTGCTTTAAGCTCTTGCTTTTGGGAAAGCTTATTTTAAAAACACCATCCAGTGGATTCCCTGGTTCCTTGTCTCTTTTGTTTTTTCTAGGTTCTACTCAAACATTTTTTTTCAAATCTTTGTCTTCTCTTATAGATAATTTTCTTCTTTTGATGAAGTTCTGTTTAAGTGTGCATATTACTATGTGTGTTAGGTGTTAAACATTACAAATCCTTGCATGTTTAAAAACTTTCCATCTTAGTGTCAGACATGAGTAATAAATCACCAGAGTCATGGTTTCAGAGTTGTGAAGACCTTCTCCGGCCTGCAGTCTTCATATGAGAATTGGGATGTGGGCCTGCTTACTCCATTGTCGGGGCAGCTGAGTGTGTGCTGTGGTGCACATGAGGAAGTCGCACGACAGGGCCCCTCTTTACTTCTGCCACACTGCTTCTCCAGTGTACCTGGCCTTCTGGGCAGTTCTGTGTCATCACCCGTCCACAGGACACGAGCTGGGTTCATGCACGCAGGGCACTGAATCCCACTTAACTGGGTTGCAAGGATTGAACTCAGAACTCAGGTGGTCAGTTGCCATGAATAGTCCTTAACCCTCCCACCCATCTCCCACAGACCGCAGCCGCTTTTTGTTTTATCGGTTCCCTCCCTCCCTCATCTACACAGCTGAGAACGACTGGAAGGCCTCCTCCTCTCACCTGTTGGCTGTCATAGGAGTAGTTTTATCGATGTGCTTAGACACCATGATCAAGGCAACTTATAAAACATTTAATTGGGCTGGGTGGTGGTGGGCACGCCTTTAATCTCAGCACTTGGGAGGCAGAGACAGGCCCATCTCCTCCATTGAGGCCACATCTCCAAATCCTTCCCAAATAGTTCCCCTGACTAAGGACCGAGCATTCAGATGTGTAGGCCCGTGGCGGCCATTCTCATTCACCACCACATTTGAGCTGCAGGCATGTACTACCACACCAGGGTTTTGGTTTTTGTTTTTCTATAAGCTGTTAAGACTTACTTTTCCATTGCAGTTTTGAATTTTCACTTGGGTATATGTTAGCGCAGACCTTTTCACACATTTTTCCTAGATATTGAATAGATTTTTCCATTTGAAAATCCAAAACTTTCCTCATTTCACGAGTTCTCTAGTGTTTGTTTGTTTGTTTTGAGACAGATTTTCTCTGTGTAACAGTCCTACCTGTCCTGGAACTCGCTTTGTAGACCAGGCTGGCCTTGAACTAGAGACCCACCACCCAGTTCTAGCTTTTATTTTAAAATTACTTCTTTCCAGCTGGGCAGTGGTGGCGTGCGCCTTTAATCCCAGCACTTGGGAGGCAGAGGCAGGTGGAACTCTATGAGTTTGAGGCCAGCCTGGGCTACAAGAGTGAGTTCCAGGACAGACTCTAAAGCTACAGAGAAACCCTGTCTCAAAAAAGAAAAAAAAATACTTCTTTCCTTACATTTCTTTAACCTTGAATTCTCATTAAACTAGTATTGAACCGCCTAACATTCCAAGTCTGAATTTCTCTCCCCCCCCCTTCTGTTGTTTTTTGTTTATCTGTTTGGAAAACAGGGCTGTGTGAGTTCATACTAACTGCGTAGCTGGGGATAACAGTGAACTCCTGCCTCTGCCTCTGAGTGTGTGTGCCACCGTGTTGGTTTATGTGGGTTTCATGTGTGCCAGCACTCTACCAACCGCGCTGCGTCTCCAGCTTCTGTCTGTTTTTCAGTGTTGTTCTAATTGTTCAGCATTTGCTCAGCTTCACCTTTTGATCAGCCCATTAGTTTCTTACTAACAGTGTTGTATCAATTGTTTGTTCATTATATTTTTAATTCCCTGGGGTGGCAGGATAGCCCATCAGGTCAAGGCCCCTGCCACCGAGCTTAATGCCATATCTCAGTTCCTGGAACCCACAGAGTGCAAGGAGAGAACTGATTTACACAGTGTTCGCTGACCTCCAGTGCACACCATGACATTTGCCATTCTTCCCCAATAAATACATTAAAATTTTTAAATTTCTACAATCCTGTTTTTATTTCTAGAAGGTTGTATTGCTTTGTATTTCCTCAGTGATCTCTTCTTAAGGTAGTAATGTAATGATGATTACTTCTGAAGGTATTTATTACATTTTTATACTTAGTACAAATTAATTTTCTTAGCTCTAATTAAAGAACATGAAGAAATTTAGTAATTTAAATCATTTTACTATATATTTTCCCATCCCACTTACAGATTGCCTCAACAGAATAGAATATTTTCATTCGTGTCAGAGAGAGAGAGAGACTAGAGATGTATCCCTTCAGATATTGAGCTTCATCTTAGTGGTCATCTTTGTTAGTAGATTAATCTCAAAGCTGTCTTATGTTTCAGATGAGATTGAAATCTTTAAGTATATGGCCACTAAAGAGCTTGTTCACTTCATACACACGGCTGATGAGATTTCAGTCAGATCAATCAGATGAGATTGAAACCTTTAAGTATATGGCCACTAAAGAGCATGTTCAGTTCATGCACACGGTTGCCTCCAAATGGCAGTTTTTGCTAAGCAGACTTGGGCAGTTCCTTAAGCAGGTAAGGGGGTGAATTGTACTCTACCAGGATTCCCCAGAGCTGCCGACCTCATAGAAAACGTCTGTGAGATCTGAGAGTTTGTTATAATCAGTCGCGACCTCCTCTCCTTATCTTGTGTCGTCTCACTGCGGTGACGAAGGTCTGTTCTTTTGAAGCGTTTGTCGGCAACCCTCTGTTGTGGGATATGCAACATACACAGATTTACCTGACAACTCTTTACTTCTAATTTAGATGAGGTTGCTAAGCAAGGGACTTTTAATATTTGGTTTACATCCAACAAATCCATTTAAACTTGATATAGATGGTATAGCCAAAAGAAAAGTTTCTCTGCAGTGGCAATACAGTTCAAGAGTTAGGGAGGAAGTGTATAATTTATTAACGTGACTAAAGGTTTATTAATTCTTTGAAAAAGGAAGAGCTATTTTTAAAAAAATGCAGTTTAGGTGGGCATAGTGGAGCATTCTTTTAGTTCCAGCACGGGAGGGGGGGGGCGGGGGGCGGATCTCTGTGAGTTGGAGGCCAGCTTGGTCTACATGGTGAGTTCCAGGACAGCTAGAGCTACATAGAGAAACCTTGTCTCGAAATAAACCAAACCAAAGCAAAACAAACAAAGATTATTGACTCTTATACTTACCTGGAATTACTTTTTAAATTTCAAGTTGGAGAACCCTTTTAACTTACTTACAGAGCATGTCCACAACAATGACTTCCCCTGATTTGATAGATAGATGGGTGATAGATTGATGATAGGTAGATACATACATAAAAAAATAAAATTATTTTTAAGGAATTGTTTTCTTAGGCCAGACATGGTGACATACACCTTTATTACTAGCACTTAGGAGGCAGAAGCAGGCAGATCTCTGTGAGTTCAAGGCCAGCCTGGTCTACAGAGTGAGTTCCAGGACAGTCTGAGTGGGCTACAGAGAGAAACCCTCTGGGGGGGGGGGGATGTTTTCTTAATTCAGTTCTTCATCTGTTGTTTTCTTAGTTCTTTGGTTCACTTGAAATTTTTTGATACCTCTAATACTTGTACTTCCTTGATTTCTGTTAAGATTTTATTTCCCTGTAAATGGATAACACATTCTTGTTTCTTTGCATTCCTTTTGGCTTTTTGTTTATTTTTAGGCGGGATTTCATGTATCCCAGTCTTGTCTCAAAGATTTCATTCTAAGATCAAGAATATCCCTGAGGTCCTGACCTTCTGCCTCTCCCTCCCAAATGCTAAAATTTCAAGTACAATACTTGGTTCCTTTTGTAATTTTTTTTTGTTTGAAATTGGACATTTGGGGCTGTAGCTGTAGCTTAATTAAGTCCCTGAAACCTAAAGAAATAAATAAACATTATAACAAATATTAAAATAAATAGCTGGGTATAGTGACATGCTTTTTAATCCCAGCACTCGGGAGGCAGAGGCAGGTGGATCTCTGAGTTCGAGACCAGCCTGATCTACAGAACTAGTTCCAGGACAGGCTCCAAAGCCACAGAGAAACCCTGTCTTGAAAAACCCAGATAGATATGATATGCAGAATATAAATAAGTCTAAAAGAAAAAAAAAGAAAACAACCTCCCAAAAAAACCAAAACCATACATATATATACAACCTGATTTTCTTTGAACACAGTTGTAAACAGTATGCTCTCTGATTATGCTGTAGGCGGTGAGGTCACTCAAGGAAACGATCGAAGACTGCTGGGACCAGGACGCAGAGGCTCGGCTCACGGCACAGTGCGCTGAGGAGAGAATGGCCGAGCTTATGATGATATGGGAGAGAAACAAGTCTGTGAGCCCCACGGTCAACCCCATGTCTACGGCCATGCAGAATGAACGGTAAGACCCTGGGGCTCGCGGCCGTCACTTAGCTGTTGGCCCCGGAGACCAAGTAAAGGACAGGAAACAAACGCTGCTAAGTCAGCCTAGTGATGCGATTGTCGTTTTTCTTTCTGGAACTAGCTCTTGTAGATCAGACTGGCCTCGAACTTACAGAGATCCACCTGCCCCTGCCTCCCAAGTGCTGGCTTAAAGGCGTGCGCCACCACCACCCAGCTTTAAATTGTTTTCTTTGTAATATTTTTTTTAATTTATTATGTTTGTGGTGTTCTGCCTGCAGGCTAGAAGAGGGCATTAGATTTCATTGCAGATGGTTGTGAGCTGTGGGTGCTGGGAATTGAACTCAGGACCTCTTGAAGAGCAGCCAGCGCTCTTAATCTCTGAGCCATCTCTGCAGCCCCCAATATCCCTAGTGTTGTTTTTTTTAAGATTTATTTTTGTTATTTTTAATATGTGTGTGGAGGTGGAAGCAGGGATGTGCACGAGTTTGGGTGTCTGGAGCCAGAGGCATGAGTTCCCTCTGGAGCTAGGATTTTAAGCAGTTGGGAGCTATGGAGCAGTGAACTGAATTCAGGTCCTCTACAGGAAGAACACCTGCTCTTGAGCACAGAGCCTTCTCTCCAGCCTCTTTCCATTCTTGTACGGAAAATATTTATGTGGTGTGAATACAAGACAGAATCTGTAATTTCATATCTAAAGATACAGTAAAAGAAATGACTCTTTATTAGTCAGCCTGGTCTACAGAGCAAGGTCCAGGATTGCCAGAGGCTACACAGAGAAACCCTGTTTGAAGAAACCAAAAGGGGAGGGGGAAATTAGTGTAACTTACCTTTAATGTTAAAGATAAAATATTCTTATAGTTGTAAAAGGTTATACCTTGCACATGTTCTTTGTGTTCTGTCTTGTGTTCATTGGTGTTTTTATTTCGTAAGCACATGTGACTGTCGGGTATCTACTGCTGTTGCAGTGGACACGACTTGTGCACTGGCTTTCCAGCGGTGCTTAAAGAACACACGATACTTCTCTCTGTCCTGTGCTACAACTATACCTTCAGATCCCAAATAAAAACTAAGGCATTAGGACTGGAGAGACAGCTCGGGGGTTAAGAGCACTGGCTGTTCTCGCAGAGGACGCAGGTTCCATTCCCAGCACCCACATGGCAGCTCACAACTGTTTGTAAGTCAGTTCCAGGGAAGCTGACACCCTCACACCAATCCTCATAAAATCAAATAGAAGTGCTGTCCCTTTACGCGCATTAGAGGAGTCTTCTCCATCTTCTGTGTTTCTGCTTCCCTATAATCTAAAGTCTGCAGGTCATACATCTGTCGATGGTCAGATGAAGGGAATACAGAGAGGGCTCTGTATCCCTTGCTGCTCTCCCAGCAGACCCTGGTTCCGTTCCCTGTTGTCGGTTGTTTTTACTCTTTAGGCTTTTTGAGGGGCCCACAACCCTGCTCGCACATAAATCGCACACGAAGGCTTCTTCTTAGTTAGGAGTGTCCAGCCTTACCTTGGCTTGTTTCTTGCCTGCTTTTCTTATATTAAATTATCCCACCTACCATTTTCCTCTGAGTTTTTCTCTTTCTTACTTCCCTTCTTACACTGTGGCTGGGTGGCTGTCCCGATGTCCTCCTCCTCCAGAGTTCTTCTATTTATACTCTCACTGCCAGCCCCGCCTATCCTTGCTCCTGCCTCGCTATTGGCCGTTCCGCTCTTTATTAGACCACCAGGTGTTTTAGACAGGCAAAGAACCACAGCTTCACAGAGTTAAACAAATGCAGCCTAACAAAAGTCACACACCCTAAAATAATATTCCCCAGCAGTTCCCAGCTCCCATCCACATTGTGGTTCCTAACCATCTGTAACTGCAGTTCCAGGGAGTCCAGCTCCTTCTTCTGACCTCTGCAGGCACTGCAGGTGAATACTCATATACATGAAGTCTTTTTTTTTTTTTTTTGGTTTTTTTTTTTTTTTGGTTTTTTTCGAGACAGGGTTTCTCTGTGGCTTTGGAGCCTGTCCTGGAACTAGCTCTTGTAGACCAGGTCTCGAACTCACAGAGATCCGCCTGCCTCTGTCTCCCGAGTGCTGGGATTAAAGGCGTGCACCACCATCGCCTGGCTACATAAAGTCTTTTTTTTTTTTTAAAGTCAGCTGAAGCTTCTACTTTAAATACTTTTGAATTTTTCTTGAGTGATTAAAAAAAAAAAAAACCAACTCCTAGCCTCTACTTTGGTTTTCCTCCCCCTTGTGTTATTCACTGGCTCTTTGTACCCCCATCTCTCCCTAGTTTCTCCTATATGAGGGCTCACATAAGGGTTGTTTGCACTGTGGGCTTCATCTCACTCTGCCCTAACCTCTCCATATCTCCTTAGCTCCCCTTTTCATGGTTGCTGCTATTCCCGCATCAGACGCCAGTCTCCTTTACAGATCCTCTTTTTCTTGAGCTGATTCTCTTGTCCTGCTTTTCTCTGTTAATACTCCCAGGACCCATGGTCACTTCAGTGAAGCCCGTCCCCAATACTTCCTGTAAAGAGACTTTAAATAATATGTAATTGTGACCGTCCGGAACTGTCACTTCCAGGAGCGATGGGGCCAGTGGGGTCCTCAGTAACTGAAGAGCAGTCCTGAACTGTAGGTGGATTTTCCTCTCTGGGGGTCACCACCCAGCTCCCAGATAAACACACAGAGACTTATTCTTACTTGTGAATGCCCGGCCTTAGCTTGGCTTGTTTCTAGTCAGCTTTTCTAACTTAAATGATCCTGTATATGTTTTGCCTCTGGATTTTTGGTTTTTTTTTTTAACCTTTCTTTATATACATCTATATATTCTGCACATCTTTCTTTCCTTATTCCGTGGCTAACCTCTGGCATCCTCCTCCTCTTCTTTTCTCAACCCTCAATCTCTTCCCTGGATTTCTCCTGTTTATTCTCCTTACGTGCCAGCCCCACCTGTCCTTTCTCGTGCCTATTTATTGGCCATTCAGCTTTGTTCCTTTATCCGAGTGCCGTCTTCTGCCTCATAGCTTAGCTCTATAGAAACTTACACCAGTAGTGGCTCCTGCAGAAAGGTGTGTTCCATTGTTAGCATGTACCTATTTGTTGTGCATATACTATTGGACCTAGGGTTACAGGAATAAAAATAAACGTATCCCATGGTTCCTCTGTTTACAAAATAATGTTACTCGTATAGGTATATAATTCATAAAAGATGTTGATATTATAAAATTATAGGTGATATTTTTAAAATTAACTCTTTTATTTCTTTTTTGAGGTGTGTTTGTTTGTTTGTTTGTTTGTTTATTCAACACAGGGTTTCTCTGTGTGGCTCTGACTGTCCTGGAACTCACTCTGAGACCAGACTGACCTCGAACTCACAGAAATCCACCTGTCTCTGCCTCTCAAGTGCTGGGGTTAAAGATGTACACCACCACTGCCCGGCTTAAGATTTTATTTTTATTTTTTGTTTATATGAGTGCCTGAATGTGTGTGCCCCGTGTTCCTGCAATGCCTGCCAAGGCCAGAAGGTGTCGCTGGGTCTCCAGGGACTGAAATTAGAGGTACTTGTGAGCTGTCATGGAGGTGCTGGGAATCAAAGAGCAGCTGAGCCTCTCAACCACCGATTCATCCCTCCAGCCACTTAATTAACTCTTTGTAAGCCGAAACAAAATTTGTATTCAGCGAGCCGTTAACACGTAGTACCTCTTAACTATGATTTAAGAGTGAAATAGGCTGGTGAGACGGCTGGGTGGTTGACATGCACACTGCCAAGACTGACAGCCTGGTTTGACTCCTGAGACCCCCACAAGTTGACCTCTGTTCTCCGCACGTACCCAGATACACTAAATAATTACGTGCAGTAACAATGCAGAGCACAAAATAAGAAGCAGTTGGACTTTGAAATCTGGTGTTTACTTGGAATAGGCAGTTCGTCGTAAGTCTCTGTTCCCATGGTCATTCCTTTTCTTTTCTTTCTTCAAGCAACCTGTCACATAATAGGCGTGTGCCAAAAATTGGGCCTTATCCGGATTATTCTTCTTCCTCGTATATTGAAGACTCCATACACCACACTGACAGCATTGTGAAAAATATTTCCTCTGAGCATTCGATGTCCAGCAGCACGCCTTTGACTGTAGGAGAAAAGAACCGAAACTCAATTAATTACGAACGGCAGCAAGCACAAGCTCGGATCCCCAGCCCTGAAACAAGCGTCACCAGCCTGTCCACAAACACAACCACCACAAACACCACGGGCCTCACTCCGAGTACTGGCATGACCACCATCTCTGAGATGCCGTACCCAGATGAAACCAATCTGCATGCCACGAATGTTGCGCAGCCGATTGGGCCGACCCCTGTCTGCTTGCAGCTGACGGAAGAAGACCTGGAAACCAATAAGCTAGACCCAAAAGAAGTTGATAAGAACCTCAAGGAAAGCTCTGACGAGAACCTCATGGAACACTCTCTCAAGCAGTTCAGTGGGCCAGACCCCTTGAGCAGTACCAGTTCCAGCCTGCTTTATCCACTCATAAAGCTCGCAGTGGAAGTAACTGGGCAGCAGGACTTCACACAGGCTGCAAACGGCCAGGCCTGCTTAATTCCTGATGTTCCGCCCGCTCAGCTCTATCCTCTCCCTAAGCAACAGAACCTGCCTAAGAGACCCACTAGTTTGCCTTTGAACACCAAAAATTCAACAAAAGAACCCCGGCTAAAATTTGGCAACAAGCACAAATCAAACTTGAAACAGGTAGAAACTGGAGTTGCCAAGATGAATACAATCAATGCCGCAGAACCTCACGTAGTGACGGTGACTATGAATGGGGTGGCAGGGAGAAGCCACACTGTTAATTCCCATGCCGCCACAACCCAGTATGCCAATGGGACGGTGCCGTCTGGCCAGGCGGCCAACATAGTGGCACAGAGGGCTCAAGACATGCTGCAGAATCAGTTTATTGGTGAGGATACCCGGCTGAATATTAATTCCAGTCCTGATGAGCATGAACCTTTACTGAGACGAGAGCAGCAAGCTGGCCATGATGAAGGGGTTCTGGACCGTTTGGTAGACAGGCGGGAACGGCCCCTCGAAGGGAGCCGAACTAATTCCAATAACAACAACAGCAATCCGTGCTCAGAACAAGATGGACTTCCACAGGGTGTTACAAGCACAGTTGCAGATCCTGGGCCATCGAAGCCCAGAAGAGCACAGAGGCCCAGTTCTCTGGATCTTTCAGCCACAAATATCCTGGATGGCAGCAGTATACAGAGTAAGTGTCCTTTAGAGTCTTTACCCTGTCACCTCCAGAGACAGTGACTGGGCCTCGGAAGGATTATTGCAATTGCCAGCTTAATCTATGTGTTTTTTGATGGCTTCTTTATGATGTGGGTCATGTACTTGTTGTGACAGAGGAGGTTAAATCAGCACATAGTAAGGTCAGAGCACCAGGTGGCAACATTATGCTACTTTTACTTCTAAAGCATTTGTTATACATAATCATATGTTAAATCTACTTTTAGTTTTAACTTAGTAAGTCTTTATATGTATTTCGTGTTTGTTTGTTTGTGACAAGGTCTCTGTTTGTAGCCCTGGCTGCCCTGGAACTAGCTGTATAGACCAGGCTGGTCTTAAACTCACAGTGTGCTGGGATTAAAGGCCTGTGCCTCCACACCCAGTAAGTCCTAGAAGTCAAGAGAAGTCTCAGGAAGCACTGAAGTTGTTCTCAGTCCTTAAGTGCCGACTTTATTGAGGCTCACACACAACAGATAAACTGCAGCGTGCTCCCTTGCTCTACGAGGTTACAGCCCAAGACAGGAGAGCTCACCAGGATCTCTTAACAGTCATTACTAGGTAAAATAATTCATTTATGAACCCCAGCACTGAGGAAGCAGAGGCAGACAGACCTTTACGTTTGATGAGGACAGCCTGGTCTACAGAGTGAGTTCAGGACAGTCAGGGCTACACAGAAAAACCCTGTGTTGAAAAGGAAAAGAAAGAAAAAGAAAAAAACAAAATCCTCGCCCGTTACTCAAGTGGTTTATATTACAAGCTAGTTGACACACCTTGCTTGCTTCTGTATGCACAAAGCATCTTGTCAAATATGAGAACAGAGGATTATGGGGAAATGTTGGTCCCTGTAAAACCATTACATGCTAAAGGCCTTTTGAGTTTGGTCCACTTTGAGCATTTTTTGTTTTGCTTTGTCTTTTTGAGATAAGGACCCACTTTATAACTCATTGTGCCAAAGGCTGGACTGGAATTCAATATCTTCGTGCCTCGGCTTCCTAAGAACCTGGAATTTCAGGAATACATCACCCACTTCATACCTAGCCCACCTTTCAGCATTAAGTCAAATGATAAGTGTTTTTAGCAAGTTGAAGTCTGTACCAGAGCAAGAGGATTTGAAAATGCAATGAAGAATTTTGAATTTTCTTGCCTGGCAGTGGTGGCGCACACCTTTAATCCCAGCACTTGGGAGGCGGAAACCGGTGGATCTCTGTGCGTTTGAGGCCAGCCTGGTCTGCAGAGTTCTAGGACAGCCAGGGCTACACAGGAAACCCTGTCTCAAAAATTAAATAAACAAAATGAGAAGAATTTTGAATTTTATCAGTTCTTGTGAGATTTATTTTTTTAATTATGTCTCAAAAATGAGTTGGTTGAATTTTACTTAGGAAAACGTTGTCTAGCATCACATATTTAGAGAAATATCCGTCATTTGGGTCTCTAGATGCCGGCTGAGCCTGTGCATGACATTGTTAGAGTCTTGTGTAGCTCAGGCTGGGCTCTGTAGTAGCTGTCGAGACAAGGATAGTGTTGAGCTTCTGGTCCTCCTGCTTCGGCTCCCACAGCACCAGCGGGGTTTCAGTGGTCCTGGGACCAGGCTACATTGTATCCAGCCCAACCCCTGTACTTGTAAATCTGTCCTTTCCTACAGCTCATCTCTGTGCTTTTGTTTTCAGTAGGTGAGTCCACACAGGATGGCAAATCAGGATCAGGGGAAAAGATCAAGAAACGCGTGAAAACTCCATACTCCCTTAAGGGGTGGCGCCCCTCCACGTGGGTCATCTCCACTGAACCCCTGGACTGTGAGGTCAACAACAATGGGAGTGACCGAGCAGTCCATTCTAAATCTAGCACTGCTGTGTACCTCGCAGAAGGAGGCACTGCCACCACCATGGTGTCTAAGGATATAGGGATGAATTGTCTGTGAGATGTTTCCAATCTTATGGAGTGAAATTATTTTTTTGCATCATTTAAACATGCAGAAGACATTTAAAAAACAAACTGCTTTATCCTCCTGTCAGCACCCTTCCCACCCTACACCAGGACTTGCTTTAAATAGATTTCAGCTATGCAGAAAATTTTAGCTCATGCTTCCATATTTTTTAATTTTGTTTTTTAAGTTTTGCACTTTTGTTTAGTCTTGCTAAAGTTATATTTGTCTGTTATGACCACATTATGTGTGTGCGTATCAAAAGTGGTCTCAAAATATTTTTTTAAGAAAAAAAAACAAAACCAGTGTATTGCTGATAATCAGTTTGGACCATTTCTAAAGGTCACTAAAGCAGAAGCAGGAGACGGGCCCGACTGCAGTGGTGTCCCGGGCACAAGCTCGTTCCTGTGTCGTCTGTTGGACATTCTTCTCTCGTGTTTTATTTGAGTGTGCAATAGTCTTCAGACCACAGAGAAGCTTTCTTAGCAGCTCTCCCTAGCAGGGCACACATTCTTCCACTGTTGAAACCTGTCCCCCATTCTTCGATAAGATGAACATTTTCTGGCTTCCTCCTTAGGGAGAATGCATAGATACTGTTCCAAGGGCTCCAAAAAGGACTCACCAAGACCTTTCTTGAAATGCCTTTGTCTTTTAGCCTTCCAAATACTAAGTGTTTCCTTCCAGGCATTTTAATAGGCATATTTGGTTCTGATTTTGGAAGTTCATAAGAGAGCATAGAACAAAATAGAAGAAAGCAAACACTAGCCATTTCCATTTTATTTTTTCTATGTATGTTCATGTTCCATATTCGTTTATTTAATAAATACTTTTTATCAGAAAATTTATAGAGCTAAACTTAAGTGGAATTTTTAAGTAAGTAGATGGGCAAGGCGATGTAGTGTAGGAACTTTGGTTTTTCTGACCATCACAAATTAAATTACATTTCCTATTTATAACCTCAGAAAAACTCATAGTTTTGAATTTATAATATCTTTTATTGTTTCCCAGCAAAGCGTGACAGCTTTATGTGAAAACGATTCTTCTTCCCATGACCTAAAACACTGTGTGGAAAGCTCAGTCAGCCAGCATGCCCAGTCCCGTGGAAGAAGGGCTTGCTGCCAGACATAGGACTATTGAGACAGCTAAGATTTGCCCTCTTTCTTCCCTAACTTTCTTTGCTAATCCTGTTTTCATGATTTCTCCCCTTGCCAATTTCACATGATCCTCGACTTTGAGCAGCGTCTGTTACTCGTGTTGTGGCAGAACCTGCCTTCTGGTGACAGCCTACGGTGAGGTCACAGCCGCGCTCTCTCTGCTTCTCCTTTTGTCACGAGTGATCCGTAAACCAGGCTCTGTCTTTTAATGAAGCACTTTCTGTCAGATATGGATTTTCCTTAAACATTGTTTCCCAGCCAGTTTGCAAACAAAAGGTTCTCATGTTTTCAGATGCTCAAAATTCTTATTGTGCATTATCTGATTAAGTTTTAATTTTTTACAGGGGGGAGGTAAAAAAGTTAAGTGTAAGTCTCCAAATTCCTGATCTCAGTTCTGGTGTCCTGAACACCATTTTCTCATTTGAAACCCTCTGCCCTCACGATTTAACTAAAGACGGCCCCTTTCCCAGCACACTGTCCACAGCACTTGTGACTTCTTTGACTTGCCATCTGCTGCGCTGCTTTGATGTGACAACATTTAAAGCATTTATTCAGCTGGGCTGCTGACTGGAGTCTCAGTCCTTGGATTAAGATGGTCTTATTCTCCCGGGACTCCTTTCTCCCCTTTGTGCTTTCTTGGCCCCTCTTCTGGGTCAGATTTGTCTTGTTTTGTTTTGGGTTGGGTTTTTTTCGTGACAGAGCTTCTCTGTGCAGCTCTGGCTGTCCTGGAACTCACTCTGTAGACCAGGCTGGCTTTGAACTCAGATTCTTAAAATAAATTTTGTCTTCTGACATCAGTTTATTTCAGGTAGTGACCATTTTTTTAAATCTATGTAACAAATAACTTTTGTCTTTTACTTCCTTGTCTGTCCAAATGTCTTTGAGATGCATTTCAGGATTTTTGTTTTTTTCAGTTGTCGGACAACTTTAAATCAAAATAGATTATATTCCTTCTATCTCTAACTGAAGCACTGAGAATAAATGTCCCCCGGAGGTCCAGCTGGTCCTTCTCTTTCAGAAAACTGCCTTACATTCTAATAGTTTATATTAAGGCCAATCACTTGTGAATTTCCCAACAGTCTTCAATGGTTAATACATTTATGAAATGCTTTAAAAAGTAGTATGCCAGGTTAAAAGAGAAAGGGTATCGTTTCCAATCTCATGCAGATATGTTTAAAACAAATAATTCCTTTCACTGATACATGGTAACTGCTTGACAAATAGGAATAGCAGAAAGCATAGGTCCTTTTAATAAATGTTGGAATTTATAATACAGAGCACTCAAAAATCCCTTTTTTTTTTTTTTTTTTTTTTTTGGTTTTTCAAGACAGGGTTTCTCTGTGGTTTTGGAGCCTGTCCTGGAACTAGCTCTTGTAGACCAGGCTGGTCTCGAACTCAGAGATCCGCCTGCCTCTGCCTCCCGAGTGCTGGGATTAAAGGCGTGCGCCACCACCGCCCGGCTCAAAAATCCCTTTAATAACTTAATTTACTTGGTCACTTTATTTATCTGATTCTTGAAGCTGAAGCTGAATTTACCGAAGATTTCACATAAAAATTAATGTTGGGCCTTTTGATTAAAAGTCATTCAGTTCAAAAATATTTCCCTGAACAGTATTATAATCTTTAAAGAATCATAACAGGACATTTTCTTTAAAAAATGCCATTTGTGGGGCTGGAGAAGCAGCAAGGCAGCTAACGGTGGTTTCTGCTTTTCCAAGGACCCAGGTTGAACTCACAGCAGCTCCATGGCTGGTCACAGCCTCCTGACGTGCACATAACTAAAAAATATAAAGATCAATCCTAAAGTCCTAATCGTATACCAAAAGTAAGTAATGGAAAGAACTTGATTCGAATTATGTATAGAATAAAGTGATTTAAATAGAAACCCTAAAACATTTAAATGTATAATTTAAAACCACTTTTACTGTGGGCATTGTGAAAGGACATACTCTGAAAACTGGCATCTACACGCACTATATTTTCATCTTCACAGCAACCATATTTTAATTAATTTTCATATTTTACGAACAAGGAAACATTAAGAGACAATAGCTAATTTGTCCAAGTTTACCTAGGGTGAAATCCCAGGTTCCTTTCTACACATCTCTTTCATCCACACACGGTCTACATCCGTGGACAGATGTGTGATACACTGACATTTTTACTCCAGCAGACTTGTGGCTTGTATATAAGCCACGCCAGATAACTTAATGGCTTGAGAAGTTAGGTAATCACTATTGCTTAAGAGACAGTTACTGATTCAGTACAAAATTCAGCCTACCCCCTAAAATCATGTCACTTTTCTTCTGATACATTGCAGAACTGAAGGAAGCTGAGGGAACAGAGACCCTAAAGTGATCCCATATTAGATTTGGAAAAAAGTTTAATATAAGTTTTCAGTCTTCTCAACCCTTTGACCCCATCTGTAAAATTTCGGCTTTAGCAAATGTTAGAAAAAATGTTAAGTCAGAGAACCAAATAAGACGTATATGATGTAGAAAAACACAAAATTAATACCCTTTATTATTATTATTATTAATGTTTTGCTTTTTCGAGACAGGATTTCTCTGTAGCTTTGGAGCCTGTCCAGAACTAGCTCTTGTAGACCAGGCTGACCTCAAACTCACAGAGATCCTCCTGCCTCCGCCTGCCCGGCTGCTAATACCCATTTTTATAAAGCAGGTTGTCATAGCTTCCTTACATGTGTGTATTTGTTCCAGAAACTGTGTGTTGGTTCTGAATGAGAAAGTGGAGAAAGGACACTCAGATCCAGTGGGATTTATCACAAATTCTGACAGATATTTTTATTTAAAATATTTCCAAGTTTGATTTCTGAATCCCAAAGGAATACCTGGTAGGCTGCAACTGTTACATTGCACATTTAGTCTCTATTAACAAGTCATTTAAAATGAAAAAAAATTCAATAAACGTTTCTTGTTTCCATATTTATGGACATGAATATTTCATTGCGAGACCCTCATAGTATTTGATATTGTATTTTATTTTATACCATATTTTTAAAGCCTATGTTGAACTTAGTACCTGTCATTGTGTATGTTATTACATGACTATCCACAGATTTTTTTAAATATATACATATACTTACTTTATATCCTTAATTCCTTAAAAGATAGATTCTTCACGCATGCTAGCTGATGTTCTAGACCTGCGATTTCGGGAAGTGTGTGACACTCCCTTAGAGACCCCAGGAATCTTTTTTTAAGCTATGATAACTTTCAATATTCACACCCTTGACTAACAGCGGGGTGTGGTGTTTTTTGTTTTCCAGAAGATAAAGTTGCATTTTAACCTTTTTGTTTAGATTATGAACTATGCAAACTTTGTCCACAAACTACCTTACATGATCCCTTCCTAACCGTGCTGATTGATTAGGTCAGGCTGGCTGGTTACCTCCTGGGCAGGCCTCCCCCCGTGTCAGGAGAGTTTTCTTCATACCTGTTCTGTCTCTCACATGTGATTTTTGTGTTCCTCATACTTCACAGGGAAAAGAGAATAGATGGTCGTCCTCTCTGTTGCTCTTAGTCAGCTTCGGGCTTCTCGGCTAACCCTGTTCATCAGATAAAATTGCCCCAGTTCCTTTAGGTCTTTTCTCATCTATTTTAATGACTTTATTTATATTTAAAAGCACATAAAATTCTATGTTATATTCAAGTGAATTGCTCCTGTTAATTTATAGCACAGCAGTTTGATAGGGTTCAGAGTACAGATGTTGCCATTTGACATTGAATTAAATCATCATACCACCCAAAATTCAGCACTTAATTTTGTAGTAGCTACATTTCTATTAAAGTGTATGTTATGATTTTATATCTGCACAGGTAGAGCTAAAAAGCCATGCATATAAGCATTTGTAATTGTGTGTCATTTTTACTAAACTCGCACCACGTCACAGGGAGTTTTAGTATTACGATTGAGCCACAACAAATATTGTACATTTTTCTTCATATCAAATACTGTATTAAACACTAAATGCAAAATTAACTTTCAAAAGCAGACCCTACAAAAATCAGGTATTATCCATGCATATTTTTGTGTTTTTGTAGACCACTTTTGAAATGCTTACCATTGTTTTTGCAGCATAGAGTGGATGGACTGAGACAATTTTTATTTAACTTTCAAGTAGTTAAAGTTGGGTGTTTGCATAGAAAGTAAATTTTCAAATTTTATCTCATGGCATATAGATTTGAAAGTAAATATTCAAGAGGCTATACTATATGTTAAAATTATGCCCCAAATAAATCTGTTGAATCTTCTGTAGAATTCCAGTTTTATCATCACTATGGTGTTTGAGGTGTTTCTAATGAACGCTGTAAGCACACACGTTCATTTGTAAAATTTAGTTTGGAGCCCACATCAAAATCCGAGCAGAAGGAATCTTTAGAACTAAATTGCTTCATTAGGATGTCCAGTTTGTATTTTAAAGAAAATTGACTGTACTTGAAATTACGGCTTAACTGTTTTTCTTCTTTTTAAAAGACTCCCCCATTTTATTTGTGTTTTAAATTTCAGAAACATCTCATGGTTTGAATCACCTTTAGACATAGTATTACCTAAAATCTCAGGGCGCCTTCCGTCTGTTTGTACACGGACACCGTCAGTTGATAGCAAACAAGCAATTAGGTCTAGCTGGATATTTAAAAGTGTTTGTTGCATAGTAATGTGTCATCCTATTATTTGACTTAATTCACATCAACATGATATTTGATTTCATTAATCGTAAAAACTTGCCCAGTTCTGTAATTACTGAATAGAAGGAATGACTCAACCAATTGGCCGCGTGGTTTGGCAGATTTAAGCCTTGGAGTTAAAACACCGGCTTAAACACGTTCTGTTCTTGGTTCCGTGGTTACATGTGATGGAGCCAGTGTTTCGTTTTGGTTTGTGGTTGGGTTTTTTTTTTTTTTTTTAATAAGAGAGCTTAGGAAAAGTAATTCTGAGATAGAATTTTCTTAAGAGATAATTAACATTATAAAACTTTCTTCTGAAAGTGAGGTCATGACCGCAGCTGTAGTGATGGCTTTGAGAAGGTGATCTATGGCAACCGGTTTTCACACTGGCAGAGCCAAACAATTTTTCTTTAAGTCAGAGAAACTTAAGCTCTAATTGGTCTGCTGTCTGTTTAAATCTTAGCAGTGGAGTTGTTTGTAGCCAGTCTCTTGTCTCGGGCTCCCTGCCTTGTTATCAGTCTTAAGTATATAAAAGAAACACTTGTAAAGATGTATAAGAGGAAGAAAACTAATGACTAAAAAATGCAATTCAGAGCAATTAGGTTTCAATTCAATATTGAGTTGCTGACTTCCGTGGCTTTTTTTCTTTCCTGGTAACGTTTATTTATTTAAGCGACATTGTATGTTATGTCTCCATATCTGTAGAGCTTGTATTGTATAAGTGTTTGTGTAAGCTGGAGTCATCCAGAATTTTCTGTTGCTAATTTTTCAAGTGAATTTCATGGATAACTGTAAAATACACTAACTCTTAGGTTGTTATAGCTGAAACGTGGAGATGTATGTGTGGCTGCCGTGTTTTTTTCTGAACAGACAGGAGAAACACCAGCTGCCGAGTATTCACTTCTGGGGAGGCTGGCGAGGCCGGCTCCTCCTTGGAACCCTCTTTCTTGTTAACGGGTATCTTCTGTTGGTGTATTTTGTTCTTACATTACAGATAGAAAGTCGTGTGTGAGTTTATGAATAATTACTTTCAGTTATTTTGCTTTTGTATAAGCCATCTGAGAGCTTGCTATGCTGTAAAAGTTGTGTTTGATGGAGCAGTGTGAGTACGAATTAAAGCGGATCACTTTCTTTTGTATTATCTATGGATGCCACTATGAACGCTGACATTAAGCCACTAAAGAGTTTTCTATGAATAAGTGTAAGTAAATGCTTTGATATATATAAACCTAAATAAAAAGATTGTATTGAGACAGAGACATTGGCAAAGGAAGTTTTAAGGCAGTTCTTTAGGTTTAAAAAGGCTTGCTGTAAAATGGTGCGTTATTCCATTTATTAAAGATCATATTAATGACATTAAGTGTATTTTTAAAAAGATCTATTTATTTTGTGTTCATCGGTGTTTTGCCTGTGCGTATGTCTGTGCTAGGGCGTGGGATCCCCTGGAACTGGGGGTTGTACTCGTTTGTGAGCCGCATGTGGGTGCCAGGAATCGAACCCGATCCCCTGGAAGAGCAGCCACCTCTCCAGCCCCATAAGTGTGTTTTCTCATCTCATGCAGTCTGCAGAAACTGCCATTGCTAACGTGATATCGTAGAGACTTTGCAGTAGAGCCGGTAACTGCTCTTCGTGACTCGGCGTGATACAGAACGTCAGCTGCAGTTAGAACCACAGTGCCACTTTCCAGGTGCTCAGCATACGCCAGGCACCGTCTTACTTATTTACGTATAAATACCTGTTCCCTCTCTCGTGAAAAAATAGAAGTTCAGAAAATCCCTTCAAGCTCAGAGCAGGTAAGAGGTGAGTGGGAATCCAGTGATCCTTTGTTTTGTTGTTGTTGGTTCCCCCACCACCCCTGAGGCAGGAGGATCTGCGGTGCTTACTGGTCAACCATTTGAGCCCAGCCAATGAGTTTCAGGCTCAGTGGGAGACCTAGTCTCAAAAATTAAGAAGCAAATTAAGAAGACTCCTTCCTGATGCCAGGCAGTGGTGGCTCAGCCTTTAACCTCAGCACTCTGGAGGCAGAGGCAGGCGGATCAGGTTCGAGGCCAACCTGATCTACAGAGCGAGTTCCAGGACAGGCTCCAAAAGCTACATAGAGAAACTCTTCTCAAAAAAAAAAAAAAAAAAAAAGACTCCTAGCATTGACCTCTGACTTCGACGCACACACACCACAGCGAAAAGTAGGATTGAGACGTTAAACAGAAGTACAAAGTGAGAGAGGAGGGGGGATGATAGGCAGGGATGCAAGTCTGGACTCTGGGAGTCCGGAGAAAATGTAACCAGCAGGTTTCAAAGCAGCCAGCCCTCTTGGAGGATGAAGAGGGCTTGTGAATCAAGTCATGCAGACCAGCACCTGCAAGAGATGACGAGAACCCACACCAAGGTGAGTCGGTGGAAGCTGCGCAGTAGCAGACCAAATCAGAGTTACCCAGATCAGAAGGACCCAGCGTCTGGGTCCCGGTCAGGCAGGGAAATGAATGTCTCTCATGGAGGCAAGAAAAATCTCAGCGTGTTCAGATGACAGAGAGGTTACCTTTAGGAGTTCTGATATATCCTGTTATTAAATCAAATGTTCAAATTTGGGACTCCAAACACTTATGTCGTCATTGTCCGCCTATTATTTCTGTAGAAATGTTTCAAGAACAGGGCTTTCCTGAGCAAGACATACGGAAAGTCGATTTGTTTTAAGAAGGTCCATTTTTAGGTGAACGCCTTGATAGGTCAGCTTATTACAAGTAGTACGTTAAGTCCTTGGGGGGAGGACACTCTAGTCTCGCCCTTTAAAATAAAGAAAGAACGGCCTTAACTTAGGGATGTGGGCACATGACAACAACCTCACCACTCGGGAGACAGAGGCAGGTGGATCTCTGAGTTTGAGGCCATCTTTGTCTACAGAGTGAGTTCCAGGACAGCTAGGGCTACACAGAATCCCTGTCTTGAAAAAAAATTTAAGGCCAGCAGCCAGGGATACCTGACAAAACTGTTTCAAAAAAATTAAAGAAGTGAGCTGACCATACAAACCTGGTAACCTGCGTTCGACCCTCAAAGAACTGACTCTCTGAAGTTATCCTTGAATGCACCCATGCGTAGCCTGGCATGCCCACCACTACTACAACATACACTTCTTTTTTTTTTAACCTAAAGTGGGTCAGCAAGCACAGCAAGGCTTGACAGAGGTGACTCCACAGACACGCGCTTTGTGTGCAGGAGGCCAAAGAGAAACAGGCAAAGACAAAGTTGTCAGGAAGTGGAGGTGGTGTCACGCAGCTTTCCTTCCTCGCCTTGGACTCTTCCTTCCCTCCTGTCTTAGCTTGGGAAGGGAAAACTCTATCCAAGGAAACAAACAGCCTTCGTTTCTATGCTTGTGGGTTCATCTGTATATTTTATTGTGATAAACAGAAAAAAGTGACGTTTTTCCTTTCTTACCAACTTTTCCATAGCATTTAAATCATCGATCCTTTATGTATGATGTCATGGAAAATAAGCTTCAGTTCCTAAGGGGAAAAATATTAAAGGAAGTCATGCAGAACCTCAGGGCTTTTAATGTTTTATTTTTCAGTCAGTGACTTTACTAAGCTGGCTTACCCCTGACACTTGGTGACGCCCTCTGTACATTACTTTTCTCATCCTGTGTCCAAACACCGGGGAGAAAAGCAATGTGGAGGAGGACCTGTTTATTTTGGCTCACAGTTTCTGATAAAAGAGTCATGGCAGCAAGACCAGTTCCTGCCCCTGGTAGTGAGTTTGTGGCAGGGCTTGCTCACACCTTTGCGGAATGGAAGCGGAGAAGTGGCTGGAATGGGATGGGCTGTACCCGTAAGGTCTCTCAGCAGTAACCCACTTTCTCCACGCAAATGTTGGAACACTTGGGCCTCTAGGGGACAGTTTGCATACAAACTGTGTTACCCCTTAAGAGTCATTCGGGGGCTGGAGAGAGCTCAGCAGTTAACACTGACCACCTTTCCGGAGGACCCGGGTTTGATTCCCAGCACACACAGCAGCTCACAACCATCTGTAGCTGCGGGTCCAGGGGATTGAACACACTCTTCTGAGGACTGCACGTGTGTGGTATGCACACATACATGCAGGCAAAGCGGCCACACACATAAAAATAAGTTGGTTTTTAAGTTGTATCTTTCCACTTCTAGAAAAGTGATTTTGAAAGAACAGCTGTGGCGGCTGCAGGCCTATAATCCTAACACTTGGGAGACTGAAGCAGGGGGATAGCAAGTTTAGGATAACCTGGAAAAATTAGCAAAAGATTTGCTCTCTTAACACCAGATTGAAGCTCAGGGGAACAAGATTCACTTCAGGAATGATGAATTGACTGTAATATCAGCACAGGCAATGTCTGTAGGGTGGTAGGAGGCCTCACCTGTCACCAGCTTGTGAAGAGGAAAAGGCAGGACGGTACCTTTGAGCATCTGAGTGGCTGTGGACATGTCTTCCTGCACAGCCTGTGTGAGTATGTGCCGGCTGAATTGTTTATTTTCTTGAAATGCTACTTTAGCAAAACTACTATGTCTGCAGTAACAAAAAGATACAAAAATATATAAAAACAACATTTATAAAGGGCTAAAATGGGATGATAGACTGCTTACCTAGAATTACGAATTTCTGGGTTCCCCCTCCCTAGTATTGAGGGTGGCGGGGGTAATGGAGATGGTGAGGAGGTGGGGTGATAAAAAAAAAAGATTTTTTTTGTCTATCTTTTTAACTTCTTTTTAAAGCTTTTTTTTTTTTTTTTTTTTTTTTTTTTTTTTTTTTTTTTGAGACAGGGTTTCTCTGTGGCTTTGGTTCCTGTCCTGGAACTAGCTCTGTAGACTAGGCTGGTCTCGAACTCACAGAGATCTGCCTGCCTCTGCCTCCCGAGTGCTGGGATTAAAGGCATGCGCCACCACCGCCCGGCTAAAGTTTTTTTTTTTTTTTTTTAAGATAGGGTTTCTCTGTGTAGCTCTGAACTATATACATACATGCACATGTAAGTCAGCCATAGGTCTTAGGTCTTCTGAGTTTCTCTGAAAGCAACTTGGCTGCACGGCATCTGTGAGGCAGGCTGCAGGATGTGTGCATGTGGAGTTAAGCTGGGCAGAAGGAAGAGCGGGAGGGTGGGGAGTGTGGCTGCACCGCCCTCAGCCTCCATTCAGAAGAGTCTGTTGTCAGGTATTTTACACTTCTCTGTTACCATGCTTTTGCTCATCACCTTTAGTAAAATGAGAAATCATGCAACCTTCACGAATCTCCATGGATGTCGGAAAAGGAGGCTCTTCAGCTTGACGAGGAAATTTTATCAGCCTTGATGACGGGTCAATTGCAATTTTATCATCAGGCCAACACCCAGCCGTGCTCTGCAGAACCAGACGTCACCACTCCTGAGATAACTCATTCAAGCCGCAGTTACCCTGCAGGAGATGGTAACGAGCCAGAGCAGCACGTCCTTGAGCCACCTGGCCCCTAGGTGGCGCTCTGAGTTCATGTTCTAATTGCTGGATCGTTTTTTTTTTTTTTTTCCTTTCAAAGATTTGTCAAATTTTGCTTGTAATGTTTTCTCTGGGGATGGGTGTCCAAAACAGGGTTTCTTCCTTTGTTCCTCCTGGAACCATCTCTGTAGACCAGGCTGTCCTCGAACTCACAGAAACCCGCCTGCCTCTGCCTCTTGAGAGCCGCAACCACCTTTTTTATTATTACATTTATTTGTGAGTGTGCACACAGGTGTCATGCCTGTATATGGAAGTCAACAGACTACGTGTATGAGTTTGTTATTTACTCCTACCATGTGGGTCCCAGGATCCAACCACAGAATTGGAGGCAAGAGCCTTTGCCCCCAACCTTCTTACCGTTGTCCCCTAATGTTTTCATTTTGATTCCCCAGCTAGCAGGGCAGGCCCTGAGAGCACAGTGTACATTAGGTTCAGTGCTTTCCAGTGGCTGAAGGTTGAGCTCGCTGGAAAGTCTACACGGGTTGGCCCTCTCCAGAAGAGCATAGGCTAAAGCCAGATCTCTGGACGTCACTTGAGTTTTGCAAAGAAATGTAAATTACAATTTGTTTGTGTATGGGTGTGTGTACATCTGTGTGTGCTGGGCACATGCATGAAGGATATCGGTCCTTACCTTCCACTTCGAGGCAAGGTCTCGCACCTGCCCTACTACTCCAGGTGAGCTGGCCTTGGGGCTTCCTTTGTCTCTGCCTCCCTTTTTGCCTTGGGCAAACTAGAATTAGAAACAGACGTGGACCACAGAGTCTTGTAGACCAGGCTGGCCTCGAACTCACAGAGATCCGCCTGCCTCTGCCTCCCGAGTGCTGGGATTAAAGGTGTGCGCCACCAATGCCCAGCAAACCAAGACCCTTTAAG